AAGCTTGGATGGCGCTATCCAACGGATAAAAATACACTATCCGTTGGATAAATTTATCCGAAGTCCGGAGGTAGTTTAAATCATTTAAAAGAGATTGCTATTGTGATAGAAATGGACAAATATACCGTTTAAAAGTCCCTTTTTTGACACTATAATAAACATGGAAACTTACTTATGACTTCCGTCTCGCTTTTTAACGTACACCATGCTCATTTTGACTTTTTTGAGTCACTTGCCCATGAAATATAATGCCATGACTTTTCCATATTTTACGAAGACCAATGTCAGTGCTCAGACGTTCAGTTTTCTGGCTTTTTTCCTTCTTTTTTTCTATTATATAGCTCGATAACAAGCAATAAAACTTTCATTCAATGAGTTTCAAGAGTTCAACACCAAACAAATATAGTTGCAAACAACAAGGCGTCGAAAGTCGAAAAATATTGTTCGCTGGCCTTGATCAGCCAATCAAATCTTGCGAGAAAATGTTCTTAAAATTGTTTTGAACCTATAAGTGAAAGGTCAAAGAACAAATATTCGGACAGTACATAAAATAAAATTGAATCGACGTACTAAAACAAGAAACAAAACTCGCAGTCTTTGCTATTGCCTTCGCACAAAGAAGCCAAAAATCTTTTAAACAAATATCGATAAGTAGATAGCAAACTCTTCACTGTGGGAAACGAAGTATTGCAACGATTGGACGAGAAAAACTCCAGATATGAACATGAACAAAAAACCTTTATTGCAAGTTGATAGTTCAAAGCCAAAGGTTAGTGGAATTCACAAGTTATACGAAGGCAACAAAAGTTTACAAATACCTCGCAACAGCTGACATAAAGATAAGAAATTTCAGGAAAATCCTGTTTTCTCCGGTTAAAATTAAGGTTATCCGACGGATAGTCCGTGCTTCGTACAACGCATTTTTATTCGGCAGATAGCTATCCATTGGATAGGAGATTTATCCATTGGATAGGACTTATCCACTGGATAACTTATCCACCTTTCGTACAACCGGCCAGAAAATCTAGACGTGGAAAACACAGGAAAATACTTTAAACTACCTATAACTAACAAAAACTATTGTAGTTAAACATTAAAAATGTCTTTTCTACTCTTCCACGATGTCTGCAAGAACCATACAGACAGCAGATTTCCAAACAACAAACTCGGAGTCGGATTGTGTCCGATGATCGATCACAGAGTTCACCGGTTGTCTTCTACACAAATTTAACAAATACAAATCAATCGAGAAAGAAACACAATAAATAAAGAAAGCCTATATAGAAGGATACACCTTACCTGAAATTTATAATCCTCTGAACAAAGGCAAGAAATTTAACTGCAAATTCACCTCGAAATACATTCCCTTCCTGTTGTCAAACTTCGCTGTAAAAAGTCATTATTGCTGTCGTGACTTATTTTACCGTTTGGCCGGTTTTTGAAAAATTGTTAACAGCATTGTTCATAACAGGTCTGTTCACATCAGGTCGAAATAGGCCTGTTGATTTCATCAGACTTGCTGCAAACTGTTAACGACAAGCCTGTTGCCACTTGTTTTCAACAGCATTGCTGCAAGCTGCGCTCAACAACTTGCTGCTGGCCTGCGGTCATCCAGTTGCGACAAACAGGTAGCATCAGGTCTGTCGCGGCTTGACGTATTCATCAGGGCTGACGCAACTTGTCATCAGCTTGCGGCGGCCAGGTAAATTCCGCAACTTGCAGCAAGTCTGAGAGATTTCTGGCCGTGTATATATATATCGATACAGTCTATCTTTGCGACGTTGTCGTAAGAGTCTTAGTTGTCGGCGTGACTCAAGTTCCCAATAAATCGCAGTTTTTATTGAAAATTTCGCGTTTTTAAAATCATTGCAACGCTTGCGATGCGGTTCTTGCGATAATTACGATTCAATGGACAATGGAAACCAAGCTTTGGTGCATGTCTTAGGCCTGTTTTATACGTCGCACTATCGTCGAATTTAATTCAGACGAATTTAATTGAACGAATTAAATGTGACGGTAGTGCATCGTATGAATCCGAGCGTCATGGTCAGACGGATACAACGTCTGTAGCGCGTCTTCGTTTCCGATGACGTCGTATCGTCGTGTCACCATGTTAAAGTCTGTTTCTGTTTTTCCGATCACATTTTTATAAATGGGTAATCCATGATCGCTATCCATGAAATGAATTCGTCTGAATAAATTCGTCGTTTGAAACGAAACCATTTTAATGTCGACCAATTGATGATTCCCCTTATTACGTTTTCGTAGCGCTTTGCATTGTGGTTATAGTGGTATCACTCATATTCAAGATGGCTTATTTTTTGTCCTGACCCGTGCAAGAGCTTTTAAAAAAAGCTAGGGTCAGGTGCGCGATAGCTAACAGCAAAATATTCGCAAAAAATCCAATATTTTCATTCGAGGCCGCTATCTTTGTCAGTGATACCACTATAACCACAATGCAAAGCGCTACGAAAACGTAATATGGGGAATCATCAATGGACCTTTCCCCTTATAACAAAAAATTTGATCTAGACAAAAATTTCATCACAGCTTAAAAGAGCATCACAAAATTAGTAATATTCCAAAGTTTCGTTACGAAATGTTGTAAAATGCGGATAATATAGCCCTGCGAAGTTTGTAATTTTCAGTCATTTTAGATTATAAACGGGAAATTGATACCCAAATCGGGTGTTTGGGATCAATTTCCCGTTTGTGATTGTCTAGACTTGTCTAGATCAAAATTTTAGTTATAAGGTTAAAGGTCCATTGACGAATTTAATACAGTGACGAATTAAATTCGTCTGAATTAAATTCGACGTATGAAACAGGCCTGAGTCAGCATGGCCTAGCTGTTACGGAAACCAGACTAAGACTAGTATTATTTCATAATCATGCTGAGCTAGGCAAAAATCGTTTCCGTTTCATATTATAAATTCGCGCCGCTGGATTTCATTTCAGTCACTTTAACCAAACTTTCCAAGAGAGAACACGTACGCTGGTAACGCTGCAACCATGATGAGTGACCGAAATGTCATTCTGTCGATATTTATTATTAGCGCCATGGCCATGAGTCGGGATTGTATCCCAGGAAAAGAATTCTGGAGTACCTTTTTTAATACCAAAGGAACATGTGCTTCCTGCCCGCGCTCTTTGAAGAATTGCAAGGATCAAGGAAGCTTAGCCGACATAAATGCATGCCAGAACTCGTGTGGTAAGTCGATGTTTTTCACGCTTGCCATTGTCTATAGAATTGTATTGACCATTAAAATCAGTATTATTATCGACATGTCATATCGTGCTTTGTGTTACGTAAATGTGAGTGTTGATGTATATATATTTAACTTAATTCGTTCAAAATATGTTTCTACATCATTTAATATGCTCGTGGTGGTGAATGTATCGAGTTGTTAATTGTTATGTCTGAATTCGTTCTTCCGAAGTCGACGAAGAAATTTTCGCGTGGGTTGCAGTTAGTGTATCTAGAATACGATTATTTTAATTAAAGTACATATAATAATATTTTCACTGTTTTAGTGTCATTTAGTGGTTTAATTCGGTTTGTCTGGATGTTTTGAATGTATTTACCAATAATAATATCATATGGGTTTTAAGTGATGTCTTAATGTATCATATATTTTGTGACTTTTGTATGGTGCCATGCCAACTTTTAATAATTAACAGAACGAATTCTCAATTATTGTTTGTGTAAAGTTCACACAAAGCTTTTTTACAACTTATATTTAACATGCATTACAGGTTGATTGCTATTTCAGCTAGCTTGTTGCCTGTTTGTGTCATATGTGGGCGATATGATGTTACTTCTTCTATTTGTTTGGGAATACTAGATTAATATTTAAACAATCTGCCTGGCTAGAGATTTCGTTAGTGGTTAGGACCGGTTTGCCTGGCTAGAAGTGGTATAGGTCCGGTTTGCCCAGGTTAGTCCTGTTTTTAAACGTGAAATTATTAATCGAATATGTCGCAACTAAAACCTCCAATTAAGGCCAAATAAAAAAAGACTTGGTTAGCGTCACCGCCCGTCTCCCGATTTCTGCCGCCTCTGAATTTTTTAATGTAAATCTCTTCGTTTTACAGCTTAAAACAGATTAATATTTGAAATTTTTCTCATGCTCAGACCTTCGCGCTATATAACTGATCGATAGGGGCGCGTGGGCTTGGCCAGTACAAAATTCTTATATAGCAAAATGGCGGCCTTCGCCATATCAGTGCAAAAAATATCACCGATATGCATGGTTGAAAAACCGCCCCCATCCCCCAAAAAATACTATTAAAAAATTTTAAAAAAGAGTAAAAATTACTGGGAAAAAAAAGTACGCCCCTCCCGCCTCTGAAAATTTGTGAGAGTGTGACGCTAACCAAGTATATTTTTTTTTCGCCGGCCTAAGCAGGCGTGTTTAATTTAGACGAGCCAAAAACCCTCATACAAATTGTGAATACATACCAACTATTGTAGGATATTCTGAGAAAATTGAAGGTTTGGGGTGAAATTGTGAGCCAATATTTTTCAACATTTCAAGAAAATCTGTTGAACGCACACAACTGTAGTTGATAAATAAAAAGACTGTAATCAGCTTAATTAAAACTGAAAACTGTAACCAGCTTAATTAAACTGCCTTGAATCTTAGCCTATATAATAATATCCACTTTGGCCAAACTTGTAAAAACTAATATGATCAATGGAATCTAAATATGCTTTGTAAAATTAGACTTATGATGGCAAAGTTTATAGTCCTGCATAGAACACATATAATAATATAAATATATCCAAATTACATGTACTAATAAGTAGCTATAAGTAAACGCCCCCATTGCACTAATAAACGTTATGTCAGCAACGGCAATGAAAGCCGTTCGTGGAAGGAATCTAAAGGTTGAGTTATTTTCATATTTTTCTTCTTTTAGTGAAGCCAACAGTACTTCCCCCGACAGCAATACTTCCTTGGACAGCAATACTTCTTTCGACACGAGAAGGCCTACGTCCCTTAACGCCACTACCAACCTCTTCAAATATACCTCGAGAACGTTCAACAATTTTTCCAAACTCGTCCATTCCGCGTCAAAAATCCAACTCTTCAGATAATAACCAATATATATGGCTTGTCGTCGTGCTAGCACTTTGTATAGGCGTAGCTGTGTTGGTGGTGTTTGTTCGTAGATTGGCAGGGAAGCGAGATGAAGCTGCTAGAAATGCAGAAGAGGGAGAAGATCGCCGTTTAATAAAAACATTGTTTTTCCATGTAGAGTTGATACAAATATAATAATGTGAAATCATGCATAGTCTATATTTATACTTTATTGCTTTGCCTTTGAAGGAAGAAGTTATTTTATAACGCATTGCATTGACTCCCACACACTCAGCAAACACCTGTTACGGCACAGACGTATGTAGGCGTGTGTTAATCTGCAACCGTTTATTGCGCTTAAACAGGAGAAATTATTGAAGAAAATGTTATGACATTGATTATTGAATGAACAGTGTTGACATGCAGTGGCAAGCGTAAAAGAAACTCTCAAACTATTTCGTCTATCTGTGGAAGGCTATTTTTCATTCAGACCTGTCTTATATTGTATGCTGAAAATGATAATGCTATAGTTATATACGCCACTATTATAGACTTGATATAAAAGATAAATTAATGGATCTTTCCCCTTATCACTAAAATTTTGATCTAGGCAAAAATTTCATCACAGCTTGAAAGAGCATCACAAAATTAGTAATATTCCAAAGTTTCGTTGCGAAATGTTATAAAATGCGGATAATATAGCCTTGCGAAGTTTGCCGTTTTTCAGTCATTTTGGATTACGCATGGGAAATTGACAGCCCAATCGGGTGTTGGGGCATCAATTTCCCGTTTGTAATACAAAATTACGACCGAAAATTGCAAATTTCGCAGGGCTATATTATCCGCATTTTACAACATTTCGCAACGAAATCTCGGAATATTACTAATTTTGTGATGCTCTTTCAAGCTGTGATGAAATTTTTGTCTAGACTTGTCTAGATCAAAATTTTAGTTATAAGGGGAAAGGTCTATTGTATAAAAATGATAATAATAGTCAGAAGTTACTATAGACTTGACATGAAATAGATGATTTTAAATCCTCCCCCGAAATTTTTTTTACTGGTGTATATTTTTAGTATATCTATTGTCTTATATTGAGTTTCTTACAAAGGCGCAGTTTGTTGACGTATACCGTTGTCTTTTCTACATAGGCAAGCATATAATTATAGCGTCGTATGCGACTGTGTAGGAGTTTGGTTTAAATTTAAATAGAAAGAATGTAAGGACATTCATATTTCTTAATGAATGACTCATGTAATTGTAAATCTATTGGTGATTTTGATTGGATGATCGACGTAGGCCGTCACAATGACACAAAACGTCGGCACAGCTGCGATAACGTCATTCGTTCATTCATTCATTCATCACGCTGTTGTTTAAAGTTGCTTTACTGATTTCCTTGGTAAAATGTTAGTCCTGCGCATCTTGGCTCTTTCAATTTGTTACGTCTTCGTCCTACTACCAAAGTCATCCAAACAAGAAAAGATGGCAGACTATGTCAAAGGGAAGCAGTATTGGAGCGCGTCCTTTATACATGAAGGTGGTACCTGCGCTGCTTGTCCGCCAAATTGGAGAAGTTGTTACAATGAACCTATAAATGATCAAGAGAGATGTGTGGTGTCATGTCGTAGACGTGGTAGGTCATCACTTGTATTAATGTTCTTTCTGTGTAGTGCTATTTGTATTGTATACAAATAATGTATTATATTTTGAATAAATTGATGGGAATAAATCTATGACTATGTCATGTGCGGTAACGGCCGGTGTACTGTCGTCCGGAAATATAGTTCTCTTGTGGTGGGTTCACCCTGCCACGCAAATGTAAAACATAGATATCGAGTCGTCTAGAGAGAATCCGTGTTTTTATTGAACTTTGTCAAAATCTATCATGGAGTGTATTGCTATATTCATTTAAATATCATTTACAATTTATAAATTGAAACATATTATAGTGAAACATATATCGACGTCTCGACGACATTCTGAACTAATACTTATATAAAACTAAAACTGCTTTTTTCCAGTCCTTTTGTATTGAAATCACTCATACTATAGTCTATATACTGCTACGACTTTGTTCTCTAGAAACGCTTGGATGAAGTTGAAGTGTCAAAGTTCGAAGTTTCAATGTGGCGCGATGATCCTTGATGGCGTGATGCAATTACACATTCTAATGAGTTATAATTATAAAATATATATTCTTTCAAATATCAGTTACAATTTTCGTTTATATGCGTCGAAATGTTTCGTTCCTGGCTAAAGTTTAGGATCGAAACAAAGGAATTTTCGTGCTGGATTGTTTATCAAATTTATGTCTCAGTTCGTTTCACGAAGCCGAATACACAATACTCAATAGCCTGCAATGCGTTTGCGTGGGTGAATAATGTGATTACCTAAGGGCAAAGCCAAAGCGTGTATATTTCTATTAAAGCTGTAAAGTTTACAAATTGACTTATCAAAAACAGATACGAGAAATAAATACCAATATCATATACCAATATCAGATGTACCACATACATATAGCTCATTAATTTTTGCCGCCGACTTGACATTTTGGAATTTGCTTGAGTCTTGAGGATATTATTAATATTAATTATCTAATAATAAACTTGAAATTTCAAATTTTGGGCTCTTTCATCGAAGTCGCAATCAAAATTATTTCAACTTCACTACGAAAACTCACTCATGCCTATACTTTACTCTATCCCGCGTTAATTATAAGAGAATCGTTTTTAATAGTCAGTGGAGGACAGTGATGTACAATTCATTACATTAAGTTTTGTCTGTTTTATACTAGTATTTTCATTTGATTTTGAACAGTATTTACAATTTCGACGTGTAGACGTCTGAGTGATTATATCTATAGTTTGCCCGTGCGTTTTTGCATGTTAGTGGTGACGGTGTCTGATACTGAAAATTATGCTTAGCTGAGCATATATCATAGACATGGATTTGGGCATTTCACGCGATAGAACTATAAGTTGTGAAGGGTTTTCTATCAAAGGAAATATATAAAATTTACACTCGATATTTTAATCAACAAAACCCTTCAAAAAAAAAGAAATAATTAATATCCCACTCGAATTTGAGACATCGTCCATGACCACGGGCACGGATAAAACGTCTGCATTAGTCAAGATGCGAGAAGTGATATTCAGCAAATTAGCTCAGACTCAGTACTATATGGACTGGCATCGTTAAAAAATATTTCCTAGTGTATATGTTAGTATAATAACAGCAAACTTCTTCGTTTACACAAACTCGAATATGCACAATTCACAAATACACAAAGATCAGCGGGAAATGTTAGTAGCGTGGGCGGGGGAAATTTCATGTAATTTTCCCAACCCACGCTATTGGAGACCTTACGATGTAGGAACGCAACGACAACGGCTATAATAAAATCATGCAAATAAACGATTGTAAAGAAAGTTTGTCGACTATTATTGATCGTATCAATGTAATACTGTTTGGTTAGCTTGTTGAGAAAGTCCTACTATGTTATTGTTAGCGATGTATTGGCCATTGAGCCGCGTCCTCTTGCACGGCACTGCTCCAACAATAGCATCTTATACTAACTGTCATTATAGTATTGGCAGGTGTATCTGGTGATACAATTGCAGGTGTATTGCAGGAGCAAGTGTTCTCCGGATGTATATGCTTTGCTTGTCTGCTGTGATCTGCTGATTCGTGCACACGAAGAGGGCTTAATTGCATCTAAATAGCATTGCATTTTTGTTTAGTAGCACTATTAGAATTATAACACAAAATTCTTAAATTTCCTTTTTGTGAACGCATATAACAATAAAACTTGCTCCGTAACATTAGAATGTAGACTTTCTGCTTAGTTCAATAGTATATAGAACACTTTGAAATAAGAAAGATACATACATATCAAAATAACATTCAACAGGAGTAAACAGTGGTAAACCATCAACCAGAAAACTGTAGATACAATGAAGATTTTATTTGGAAAAAGTTTTTAAAAGTTATTCCATATCTTATTTTTTGTAGCAAAGCCAAAACCCAACCCGAAAGAGCCCTCTACAAGTACAAAACTTCCCGTGACACCAACGGCAACGGCTACATACATACCTTCTGAACTTCGAACTGAAATTCTTAATCCCACTCCCTCCATACCTGCAGTGCCGGTATATTCTTCAGGCTTACACCCACATGAAACAGAGGACGAGGACCAACCCCCTTCTGGTGAAAACCATGGACATGGTATGAAATTAGGGCCTATCATTGCGGTATCGGCTCTTTCGGCATTCGCTTTCCTAGCCATAGTTACCCTGGTGCTGTTCCTGGTTCGTAAAATCCAGAAAAAATCGGCAGGAGAACGAGGTAGAGTTCATAGAAGAGATATAGAAGAACGTATGGCTCTACACGAGATACAGCGGCCTAATGACGGAGAACGTGTACATGAGCCGGCAAATGATGGGGTAGAGCGTTTACATGAGCCGGCAAATGATGGGGTAGAGCGTTTACATGAGCCGGCAAATGATGGGGTAGAGCGTTTACATGAGCCAAATGACGGAGAAGAGCATTTGCAGCATAGAGAAGAGCGTTCACAGGCAAACGATGCAGAAGAGTGTGTGGCCCCTCAGGAGACACAGCTTCCTGTTCAGGCTACTCCTTCTGATATACAAATAGGCGGGTAAGTATATATTTGTTTGAGTTGCCTTATCTTTTGTACTCTCTTTCCCCCAAGAAACAGAAAATATGGTGTGGTTTTAATCTTCTTCTGCCAGTTCAAACACAAACCACGCCAGCTTTATGTAGAATAAATCGGCTCGAACGGTCTTTGACAGTGTATGTAGGTAGCGGCGATAAAACTAAAGCTGCAGATTAAGAGAGATTACAACTACCTGGAAAATACAAACAGAATTTCGTCGTTTCGAGGGAAGACTTTTTGACGGGAAGTTATTGGCGGGGGGGGGGGGGGGGGGGGGGGGGGGGGGGGGGGATCGGGAAGTACATGAGCTAGGCCCTTTTGTCGGGAACGGGAGCCGACAAAGGGCCTTAATTGCCCCAAACGTCGAATTAAAACTTTGTATACGATAATCAATCATTTTGTATACGATTCTAATTATCTTTTTTCATAACAAGTATATAATAACAATATGTTTGCATTTTAAAAAATGTGCTTTTGTCGCAATAAATGTAGGATTAAAGATTTTCACTGCTAATCCCTCAACGGCTCAACTCAACCAAAACTGCTTGTCCAACTTTAATCTGTATCATTAATTAGGTACAGTTATAATATAATTAATATTTAACTATCTATTTGACCAATCATAAAAGACCTTGTTGGAGCTGCTACATCATGACCCATTGTACATAAGCTTTTCCTAAAGTTTTATCGTTTACTTAGCTATACGGGAATTTATTGAACTGACAGCTCATTGTCTTCACACGGAGTGAGCGGAAATGCTTGTGGGACATTTTAAATCTTCGTTATACATGCATCGCCGTGACTTTAATTAAACAATATGAAAAGTGCTACGAGCTAGCCTATTTTTGATGTTCGCCTTCGGCGGAAGGAAATATTAATATTTAAAAAATAATTAACGACTTTCGAAAGTCTAGGAATCTATGGTTGGACCTAGCTGGAATAACCTCCAACCTTCTAGAATTTGTTGAAACGTTGGATAAGAAATAATTACCGATATTCTTATCATGATTAGTTCTTTATTGTCTTCTGACTAGTTATTATTAACGACTTTCGAAAGTCTGGGAATTTCTACGGTTACCCTGGAATAACCTGGATTAACCTACTAGAATTTGTTGAAACGTCATGCAGATAGGAAATAATCGTCGATATTCTTCTTACACTGTTAGTTATTGTTTGTCTTCTGATTAGTTATTATCTTAGTTATTGAGATAAACTTTGCTTTTTCTTTGTTTTATAGAATCCAAGATACGGAGTCTGCTGGCGAAGGCAGTTGTTCATCAATGACATCATGTTTATATCTAACTGAAGCGGAGAACTAAAAGAATAGAACGAGTTAAAGGATTTTGTTGTCTTTATTTATTGACCTGGTTTTATTTTCCTTTATATATATATATATATATATATATATATATATATTATATATATATATATATATATATATATATATATATATATATATATATATATATATATATATATATATATATATATATATATATATATATATATATATATATATATATATATATATATATATATATATGTAATATATATATATATATAT